TCTTGAAATTTCAGGACCTTCTGCTTTTCAGTTGAGATTTTAAAATGAAGTAAAATTCTATTCTTATGTGTCTTTTATCAGTTGTTTGAACATAGTGATAACCATTATCTTAAATTGTTCGTCAATTTGTCCATGTTATTTTCATCAAGGGATTTGTATTTTTTTGGAGCTGATATGTTATTTTGATTTTTCTCAAGAGTTTTGAATTTATAAATGTCTTTTGTCTATAGAGTTAGATAATAAATGTACCTTTATTCAGGTAGATGCATCTGAAATGCAATGGAATTCCATGAAGGGATATCTGAGAGAAAAATGTCAAGAAAAGAGGAGAGGCAAGAAAAAAATGACTGGGTGGAGAAACTGAATATATAGATATTTTTCAGAATAGATAGATGAGTTTGAACTGTATAATCTTATAAAGCTCAATATCATATATTTGTAAATATCATTATGTACAACATTTTCAATATACTGATTTCATTATTAAATTAAGTAGCTTAATTTAATCTATCACCTATAGGGATGACTTTTCCACATTCTTTTTAAAGAAATACATATCATTTCATTGATTACCTTTTTTAGTTTAAAGAAGAGAATGTAAAACTTAGTTGCCTAATGAGAAATTTCACATTGTATAGTTCAATAAGTATGTAAATAAAATGTAAAAATAAACAGGCCATGATTTAGGCACATAGTAGCATAAAATGAAATAGAGACTGAATGTGTGTGTGTTTGTGTGTGTGTGTGTGTGTGTGTGTGTGTGTGTGTAAGTGTGTATGAGCATGCACATGTCTGTGTTTCACCTGCATGTGAACATGGAGCATCATAAGTATGTCATGAGACAATTTATGGGATTTGATCCTCTCTTTTTTGACCATGTGAATTAGAATAGATCTCAGGTCAGTAAGCTTGGCAGCGAGCAAGATGTCCATCTAAGTCATCTTGCCAGATCCTAAAATAGTGATTTTTCTGTGGGTATCAACATAGGTGTTTCTTAAGTGTCATCTCAGACATATTTTTGAAAATGTTATAAAAATGTTATAACGTTTGAATGAATAAAGTGTGAATGAAGTCCACAACAACTATAAGTCCACTGTGATTAGTCGGTTAGTGAAATTCTAGTCTTCTGTGTAGCACAAAATTTATACTGAGTCTTGTTTTTACCTGAAATCCTGGGGAAGTCTTCTGAGACGTAAGCCTTAAGAGCTTCCCTCAGTGAAGTCTTTCAGCCTTCATAAGTCTTCAGCTTATTTTTATCCAAAGGTTTTGCTTAGTCTTGATTCTCTTGGGATTTTAACAGAGTTGTGAACTCTAACAAATTATGTGTAGCAATTGGCAATCTCACAGAGTATTTGCTTGGTATTAAAATGCCTTGTTAAATATTTCAAATTGGTCTTTAGAGACTTTCAAAGAAGTCCACTCATATGTTTCTTGTTGATATGAAACTTGACAAAATTTGTGCTATTTAAAAATCATCAGAACAAAGAAAAGCCAAGCGAAGAGAGTGACAAGGTGGATTCTCCAGAGGAAAAAAAAGGACTTAAGTTATATTGTAAAGATATTCTGAATGCGTTTTTTCATGTATGTAAATCTTTTCAGATTTGTATAAAACATCAGCTGAGAGAACTAATCCCTAGACTGGGAACAGAAAGTGTGTGCCACAGGAAATACTGAGAGTACAATACTGCATAGGAAATGGCTTATGTACTTCAGAATACAGCATCGCCAGAATTGCCCTTTTCCCTGGAAATGCTTCTGCAAACAGAAAATGTTTCCATCCACTTAGGCAGGATTTCTCTAATGAAAAGCCAGTGAGTTGGGGAATGTGATGTAGGTTTAATAAGTATTAATCAAAACAAAATATTTCTCAGAGGATATTAGAGTCCAATTTCAACATTCTGACAGATTAGTGCAATTGGGGACCTTATTCTATATATCTTCATTTGAAAATTTAGAAGTTTTCTCCTTTTTATCATGGACATAATTTAGCTATATACTAAATGTATGTATGAATGAAGAAGTTGCATACTCCACTGTGAGAGGAATGTTGAGGAGAAAAACCTATCAGAAGTTTTCTCACCTCCACACATGCTGGGTGGTATGTACATAAAACACATACAAAAACAATTTTTAAAAGAAGTAAAAAAAAGTTTTGTTTCATATGAACTTTTAAAGAAAAGTAATGTTATTCATTAAAATACCCAATATATTTCATCCATTAATTCATTTTTAAGCATCAACAAGTAGAAAATTAGGAATATATGAGTCTCCAAAAATATTAAGTTATACCAAATTCAATCAACATGGACAATGTTTTTTTGTTTACCTCACTCAACAATGTATCTGGAATCAAATATCATAGGAAATTATTCACTTTTTTCTTCTTGGTTTCTAATTTTAGAGTCTTGCTAAAATTTAACTGTCAGTAAGGAGGACAGCTACCATTTATTCCTTTTCAGTGTTTCACACTTCTGTAAAGTAGGTGACTCATCCAACAGAACAGTTTCATCTCACAGCTGCAGAAAGTACAAACAGGAGATCCGTGTTTTCACGGCCATGTTCTTCCTCAGTACACTTAGTGTGTCCAATGTTCTCATATATTTTTTGCTACTTTATCCCTGCTTCTCCCTCGTAGTCTATTGCAACCTGAGTGTTTGTTGTTTGGGGGCTACAAGTCCATCATGCACTGAATCATCATTATCAAAATACTTAACCATTTTCGCATTGTAAAATTTGCACTTCTTATAAGCTCGAGCCAAATCTTCTTCCTTCTGTCCCGACCTGCAGACCATATGGTCCTAGTATACTTTTCAGCATCATATGAGCAAAATAACACAATGTAAAAATCATGCAAGGTTGACCTTTTAAACTTAGATCTAGTTAAATAAATGCATGCATGAGTAGCCAATTCATTTTTCCTTTCTTTCTTGAGTAACATGCTATATTATAGCGTGGTACAGCTTAATGATTGTCCCACTGTAAGACATTTGGTCTATTTCCAGCATAAGACTATGGCAAACAATTATTCTACAAATATTTATAAAATGTTTGTATATCAATATACTCTACTTGTCATAAATGCCTTAGCCCAATTTTCTGGGTCATAGTACAATTGTGAATTTATCTATTTATTTATTTTTAATTTGTTTTAAGATTTATTTATTATGTATACAGTGTCTTCCTGTATGCCAGAAGAGGGTGTCAGATCTCATTACAGATGGTTGTGAGCCACCATGTGTTGTTGGGAATTGATCTCAGGACCTCTGCAAGAACAGCCAGTGCTCTTAACCTCTGAGCCATTTCTCCAGCCCCCTGAATTTATTTTTTTTAAAGGCAGCTGCACTCACATATTTCTCCACATTAGAGTTTGTATCAACTGTTTCTCTGAACCACTGCCAGGATTTAGTTCCCAGTGTATTACACTAATCTACAGTTTAAATGTAGATGTGACATAGTCTTCATCATCTATATATATTTCAGATTCTCATTGTGTAAACCTAAATATATGTCTTAAATATTTATTACATTATTAGACATTTATATGCACTTACATTGCAAATAAAGAATTTCAAGTGAACTTACTGAATCTCTCAGGAGTTCTAGGAACCCTTGAAGACATAGAATCAGCTTTGATTATTTCTGTGCCTGGATTTCAACATGGAAATAAAAATTTTGAAGCAGACTGATATTAGAATAAATGTTTGCAAAATTTACAACAGAAAATTATTCCACTCTATATTCAAGAACCAGAATTAATACAAATTCCATGAAGGCTCTTTTGGTTGTTGAAATGTTTTTGTTTGATACACAGTTTTAAGTATTAGATAATATTTTCTAGTGGTGAAGTATTCATCATAAGATAATTTGTAAAGTTAATTTTGTTAATAGAGTAAAGTATTTACAAACTAATCATAAAGTTGAACAACCCTTAATAGTTGGCTGTCATATGCTGGGGAATAATTTTAACTTAAGAATAATTCCCATATAAAACAGATGTATTTAATGAAACACATGGTTCTCAAAGTATGAACAAAAAAAACAACAGGATAGCACATCCCAAAATATGCATTGTAATGTTTATTAATTACTTTAAAGGGACTGCTCTTCAAAAAATATTTTAGTATTTGTTTTTAAAAGACAATTATGTCCATATTGTATAGGAGCCACAAAATAAATGAAATTTGAATCAATCATGGTAGTTTGAGACTCAGTATTCAAGGTATATAAAATAAATAAACTAATGAATACAAGATAAAATATGGGTTAAGTGGTTGTTTCACTGATAATATAATTTGTCCATCTTCTCACTTTAATAACACACTATGCAATCGTTATTAAGAATGTTCTTAACTCATGAACTACATAGACTCATTGTACTCTTGATTTAACAAAATACTCAATATTACTTTATTTAAGGTCATCAATAAAAGCCCATTCTTATTAAGAAAATATCAAGAAGAACTTTTTCAATGTTGTCGTGATTTAAGGAATCATAATACAACATCTATCATGTATTTTGTTTGAGTTTGCATGTTACTGATACTATGGAGAGAAAGCAAGCAATTTATATATATATATATATATATATATATATATATATATATATATATAACACAAACCTAAGAAGTAATTTACAAGGGGCTGAACAGCCCCCCTCAGTTGTCAAGAGCATTGGCTGCTCTTCCAGAAGATCTGAGGTCAGTTCCCAATTGTTTTTGTTGGGTAGCTCAAAACTCTCCATAACTCTAGTGCTGGGGTATCCAATGCCATCTTCTAGCTTTGTGGGCACCTGCTCTTCCACATGAATATACCCACATACAGATACACATTCACATAAATACAAATAAATGTAAAAATAAATCTTAAAAAAAGAATTAAAATTAATAGGACATAGTCATTTTAGTAATGCATTGAAACTGAAACAAACCCTTTTACTGTGTTCAAATGAGTCATGTGCTAAATGCCATCACACACTAAAATTTGTTTTCCTGAATGCACAGGTACCTCTGTTCTACAGGTGACAGCTACGGATGCAGATGACCCCACCTATGGAAACAGTGCACGTGTTGTTTACAGTATCCTGCAAGGACAACCTTATTTCTCTGTGGATCCTAAAACAGGTTAGTGAATTTATATACATTACTATGCAAGTGCTTTTATTAATAATACAAGTGATGCTCTTTTATATTTACTCATTGTAAGATAATGACATTTAAATGCATTTAAAATTGCAACTATTTTCCTAAGGCAGTGTAAATATAAAGATAATTGTTTAATTCTATTATTCATACCTGTTAAAATTACTATTGAATATTACTATAACATTTAAATAATACTCTTTTGAAAAGAAATATTGAATATTGTACTAATTAAATAATATTGTCAAGCATTTTGATTTACATATTACTTTTTATTTTCCATCAAAAATGGAAAATTATTCAATAGAATTTCTAGTACCTTATATAAATTTAGTTGTAAAATATATTCTCTGCTACCACACATGAAGATATTCATGTATATGCATATATACACTGCTTATAAATATATGAAATACATTACAATGAGGTACTTCAGTGTTTTCACCTGGGATTTATTTTTCTGAGTTTGAAATTCTTTCAGGTCTCTCATATTGTATTAATTAATGAAATTAACATAATTACCAAAAGTCTTAAATGTCTTTCTTTAATCAGATAAACCTGTGAATTCTCTCTTTCTGCCTTTTATCCTGGTAAACATTGATATTGTATCACCCCAAAATTTCAATGAACAGTACACAGTAGTCTTGTTTCCTCATCCTATGTCAAAAGATACAGAAAGCAAATGTCCTGGCTAAGTGATCTCTCTCCAGTAAAACAAGGAAACTAAGTACTTGTTTCCAAAATATACACACATTTAACATGCAACTTTCAGGTTTTACAAAATTTAAAGAATATCAAAATGGATTGCAAAAGAAAATAGAAGTCCAGGAAGCTCTAGCCAGCCCCTGGTATTGGTGAAGTTATTAAGTCCACTCCACGTAGATAAAAGGAGATTTATTTAATGGTGTAACTTACAAATTAAGGGATAGGTAGGTCACGGGGGTCTGGGGAAAGTGAATTGCAGTCCAGCAGTGTTCTCTGGAGCTCTGCTCGGTCCACCTCCACCGTTCAGTGTCCCAGAACAGAGAGAGTGCTGACCCATCCAGATCTTGGGTCTCCAGGCGCCTCCCTTGGCCCTGCCTTGTAGGAGTGACAGTTGCAGAAGTCTCTATGGGGTTTGGAACTTCCAGATCAAAGCTGGAATGGCTACCCACTACACCCTGGGGATATTGTGGTAAAACTGAATGCACTCTGACTCAGTGAACATGGAACATTCATGTGTGCACTCTAACTCCATTAACATAGAACCTTCATGGAAAGTTAACAGTCCTTTAGCTATGACCAAAGATGTGTCTCTTCTTAGATGTCTCCTTTAACACATTGCATGGCCTATAAGTAACCCATTTATATATTTATGTAATTATATATAATTCTAAATTAAAAAGAATTGCATCATTTCCCCCTTCCCTTTCCTCCTTCTAGACACTCCCAGGTATGGTTTAGCAACCCTCCTGTGCTGTTCCCCAATCTCAAATTGATAGCCCCTCTTTTTACAATTATTGTTACAGACATGGATGCACAAATATCTAAATACTGTTTGCTGACTTTCTTGCATGCACTTGCTCTCTCTCTCTCTCTCTCTCTCTCTCTCTCTCTCTCTCTCTCTCTCTCTCTCTCCCTGTTTCTGTATGGTTTTGTTTCTGACAAATTTGTATTGGTTAACTAGTTAAGCTGGTCCATTCCTGAGAGTGGCTAATTCTCACTCTCCCAGCAGTCATTAGTTAAATATAGATTTTGTCTAAAGGTAGAAACTCATGAAATCTCCCTGTTCCACATTAGCATGTTTATTGTTTATGTAGTCATTTCTAGGAGAGACTTTCACAGCAGACTTCCTGATATTTTGTCTCTTACATTCATTTGTTGCCTCTAATGAAATGTTCCCTAAGCTGTTGACACAGGAGCTGTGATTTTAGATGTATCCATTGGGGTTGGGTTCTGCAAGATCTCGTGATCTGTGTATTGTGTCCACTTATTGTTTCTGTGATCATCTCTACTTGCTGTAAAGAGAAGCTTCTGTGAATGTTGTGTGTTTGTGAAGGGGGGGGGGTGCTATACTTTTCTGTGACGATAAGGATAAGAGTAAGAATACAATAAGGACATATGCTGGTATAGGAAATGGATAGTAACAGACTTTTTCTAAAGTCCATGACCTTACTAGCCCTGGGAAATAGCTGTTTCCAGTACTAGGCATGTTTCCCTCCCTGTTGACTGAACTTCAGTCCAATTACGCTGCTGTTAGTTACTTATGAGGGAATGTCACTTAGTGTACATTTCTAGATATCTTGCCATGCTGGTCATTGTTGTGATTCACAACTTCTGCAGCTGAGTAGGACAGATTTTGAGAGTTTGCATAGTAGTTTTTGGCATCTCTAGAAGACACATTGCAGAAAGAAGGTTTTCATGCCAGGTATAGGTGGATCATCAGAATTTTGTGGCTTGTGTATGCAGTGTCCTCAGGAATAGGGATATACCTTCAATGTCTGAGAGCCAGGGAAGGACTCCATCAATAGTTGATATTGTTTAGGAAGTTTCTTGGACTACCCTGACCAACCATTCCAAAGAAGGTTTCTCATGGCTGGTGCTAGTTTTATTTGTGAAAGTAATCCTTCATCAGCTCTATGGTTTCAAATCAGGTCTGTTTCAAATCCTCTTATATAATGAAGTACACACCAGTAAGAAGATTCGAGTCTTAAGCACACTTTCATCACCTAATGTGTTAGTCGTGTTTTATTATCATTTTTATAAGAGGATTTGACTAAGTAATCTGCATGCCTTTCCCTAAGGGGTTCCAGCATTCAAGTTCACTGCCAGAAATAGACCTAAAACATTCTGTATCTCTCTATTTTCCCAGATGAAACAATGTAGAACCAATATGCAAAGAGAGAGTTGTAAGTGGAGGATAAACTTGCACAAAAGTATTCATGTATCCATGTTTTATACATTTTAATCATAATATAGACTGAAATATTTTATTGATGAAGTAAAAATGAATATTATAAAGCAAACACCATTAACGTTTTATACCTTATTACATGACATTCCAGTTATTTTAGTTTTGAGATATTTAAGTAGGGAAAAACTCTTATGAACCTAGTAATTAAAATACCCATGTATGGCTGTGGGGTCCTGCCCCACCAGGAACTTAGGTCACCTGTGAAGAGGTGGCCTGGAACCAAGGAAAGATAAGTGTGCTGCAAGGCCATTCCCCAGCCTCCCTCTTACCCAAGGATAATCAGACATAGTGGGGAGTCAAGTGTTAGGCAGTAAGCCTCTTATAGCAAAAACCTCAGAACCCTAGGAGCGGGTGAAGGAGCCGACCAATCATTTCACAGGTCACCCTACTTACAAATTGTTTATGTGCTGATATCATCTTCTGATCTTAGTATAAACAACCTGAGCTAACTTTCTTGGCACTATTTGTGTCTAATTTCCATACAAACAACCCAGCTAACTTCCTCTCAGCACCATCCTTGTATCTACTCTCTAAGTAAACAACTTACACTATCTTCCTCTCCACACCATCCTTTGTGTCTGCTCTCTGCATAAACAGCTTAAAGCTTAAGCTCTATTTGTCTAACTTTCTCTCCATACCCACTTTGTAGCCCATGTATGCCACATATGGCTATTTATATTATTGTTGGACTGAAATTTTGTTGAAAAATGAATCACTTCATTATTGATAAATATGGTCCTCCTTTTGTACATTTCTGCTTTACACAAGTGTCTCAATGAAAGCAATACACATTGCTATGTTTAATTTTTTCCACACATATACCTGTGTATAAGCATATATGTACCAGAATAAATTTTTAATCCATTCATGTTTTGCATATTAGTCAGATGTTTTTGTATAAGAAAAATGTTGTATTTATTTAACAATAAGTTGAAATAAAAGCATCCTGCATGAAATATGTTTTCGACTATAGTACTCTATTTGTACTATATTTATGAATATCAATTTTCTTTGTGTATCATAGTATTTGAATTGTTTCATATGTTTAAGGATGTAAATGCAAATGAGGGAGATTGGCTGCCTAGTATGCTGCTTTAGTTTGCATTTACATAAGTTCTCGTCACCATGCTATTGGTGACAGCATTTAAATGCAGTAGCATTTGGGTATAGTTATATATCATATATATTGTAGTTATATATGATATATATTGCATATATATGTATATGTGTGTGTGTGTGTGTGTGTGTGTGTATGTGTTTGTATGTGTGTATGTATATATCTCACAGGTAAACCAAGCAATGGTTAACACAGAATTTTATCTCAAGTATAAACAGACTCTCACACAGTTCCTAATGCATTAAATTCTATTAGCTCTTGGTTCTCTTTTATTTCCTTCTCTTCAAAATGTGTAGTGTATTAAAGGAAATGTATACTTCCATAGGGATCTGTGTTAATATCAGTATTTCACTAACTAAAGCATAATAGGACTTGTGGGTCTATTTCCTGCTTATCACGCCAGTAATGAAAGAAAATATTTTTAAAGTTGCATTAAGTCAGTAAATGTGTTAAACAGTTATTGCAGAAAGTGCTTAGAAGAGTTCTAAAATAAATATTCATTTTTTTTTCTTCAGAGTTTCCATATTTTGGCTACTTGTGCTTAAAAACCTTATTACCATGCAATTAAACATGCTTAGAACTAATGAATCTAGTTGTAACTGTGTTTCTAAATGCCTGGACTAAATTCTAAACAGACATAGAGAAAATTAGAGAATCAGTTGCTATGATATGGTGTTACATAAGAGGCATTTGCAAAGTCATTTACAAAGGTGTATTTTAATAGTATAACTTTAATTCCATTCTCCTAATTGAATGATACTTTTCAACACATTCCCAATTACTTTTATTGAAGACCAATTATAATAATGTATAACTTAACTTTTCTCCCCTACTTACATTGAGATTTCAGTGCTTATCATTAAAAATTAGTACTGGTACTGCCTTATTTTCATTATGTTAAAAGGTACATTT